CTCGAGTGCCATCAACAAGCGTACTTTGATTTCCATTGTAATTTTTATTGTTTATTCGCGAGGGTGTTTATGGTGAGCAAGTGAAGTGCAAGAATCACCAGTAAATTTTCCTTCATTGAGCCAGAGGACCACTTGGTTAGTTTACTACTGCTACGTGCAAGTTTTGGTTTGGGTGTGCAGTTCCGAGGATACTTTTTATAGGGTAGGTTTCGAATCGTGAAAAAAAAAACTATTACCGACAGAGACAAGGCAGTCTGAGAAGGCCGTTTAGGGTACTTGTCCTTCGTCGCCAACCGGCCTTGGCGCAAGCGTGAGGTGATCCGGGGTTCTGATCGGCGAACGTCACCCGCGCGGATGTTTACTTTGAGGATGGTAGTCGACAGCCTGAGTCAGTGGTCCAACTGGTGTAGCATCATTACGCCCACTTGTCTCGGTGTCCCAACGTTCTGATCACGCTCCCCTGCGTTAGTGTGACTCGCTGACGACAGTAACTACTAGAACGTACGTGAGCCACCAGCCGAGGGCTTAGGACGACGCCACTCACGACTAGCTGACGACAGTGAATACTAGAACGTACCCGAGCCACCAACCGGGGGCGTAGGACGACGCCATTCGCGGTAAATGATTAAGGATTTTAGGTCCACAAATTTGTCTCCACGAAGTCGCACGACTGGGTCCGTAAGACACAGGGCATGCCAATGACTAGAGAATGGACCCGCACCCTACCCCTCGCGGCGATATAACTTCACAAATGTGGTTCAGCGTGTGGTACGGTTTCTGGAGATATGATGCAGAGACCGCAGAAACCCTGGTGGTGACCTCACGCGAGTAGGCTAAATTATTTGCGCATTTCAATCGGTCAAACTTAAGGGAACAGGAATTTCAGGCCTCTTTGCTGTTGGTCGGCCTTGTCGTGGCGGAAACCTGCATGCTGGAGTACACTGTCGAAAAATGTTGATGAATCAAAACCCTTGAGAATGGCCGACGTGATTCGAGGGAGTCGTTAGACTCTATAAGGAGTCAGCGAGACCTAGTCGTCTACGTCTCCCCGGCGGACTTAGGATGTGCAATGAGGTCTAAATTCCTTAAGCTTCCATCCATAAGTGCTCGCTTGAAGGCGTTGTATCAGAAGTAAATATAGGACGCAATTCGGAAGTAGTTCAGGAACGTTAATGTTTTCCCAACGGATCGCTTTTATTTCACTGCAGAAGGCCACTTCGGGACCTGTTAGCCGTTCTCCAAAAGGTAACCGCACAGTTGTTATGTCGTCCTTTAATCGCTACTTTGTTTCTACGGACGCAGATTGTAATTTTTGGTTAATGCTCGAGTCGTTTTTCGATCATGCATCTTGTTGTCCACCTGCCCGTCCGCAGGAATCAGATACGTTCTTCGGGAAGGGGGCTTTTTTGTGCACATTTTTAGCGCCGATTCCCCGAGTGGTGGTTGTCAGGTCCAGAGTAAAGCAGAAATCGGTGCCGGTGTAGCGTTTGCGCCAGTAGGCCGCAAGTGTGCCCCATCGTGTTCGGATTGGCTCCCATTTCTGTCTGAGACTTGAACGCATAATCCAACTGAATATCCCGGTTTATGCATGGTTCGTCTGGGTGCATGGCCTCGAGGAACTCTCGGCCTCCTTTTTGAAAACGCATCCAGCAATGATGCGGGTTTTTATCCCACACAAAGATGTGCAGGATAAGCATGGCTACTGGAGACGGGTGGTCTCGCCTTTTTTTACCGTCCGTTACTGTTCTGGAATGCGCGGGCAATGAACAGTATTGCATGCGTCACGTGGGATCTTGTTGGATGCGTAAAGTCACCGTTGTTTTGTGTGCCATCAGAATCGGGTACTTACTTAGGTACCTACCAACGACTTCAGGCGCATTTTTAATGTAAGTAAGAGTTTGCCAAGTATATGGCTTGGGCATCTAACAGCGTATGCCTGAGTCCATTTCCTGCGACCCCTGTTTTCCCGATCGCCGGCTTACGGAGTCTCTAGGAGCAATTACCTAATCGTTACGAAGCGACCAAACATTTCCCGAAACCGAAGTTGTGTCGACAAAATACTCCGGTGACAATATGGTGGTCTACTACTGATGTTGTGCATAACAGCTTTCTCGAGGCTAATCAGAGCATCACAGCAGAAGTTCACTGCATCTAAATTAAGCAAATCTGCCAAACCTCTCAAGTAATTCAGTCAGCCTAGTAGTCATTCTGGTGGACTCTAGATCACTGCTTAGGAAATCCTGCTTGGGCAGCCAGCTTGCTGTTCCGTATTAGTAGAGTCCATACGAGCGGTAAAGGTGGGCGGGTAAAATCGATCGAAGTGTGATTAAACTCACGGTGCTAGGCGTGACATATGTAGCTCAACTGGTAGAGCATTGGCTTCACATAAAGGCCTTCCCTGCTTTGCGGGTTCAAATCCCGCCGAATGCCGCGAGTTTTTTCACAATTGGGTCAAATAAATTTACTGCAGGCAACTCGAAGAAATGCATGTTCACTTGGGACAAATGAGCCCTGCACTA